TAGCTATTGTTCATCATTAAACAAAACAGAAACAATCTCTGCAAAAAAAAAAAAAAAAAAAAAAAGAATAAGTTTTAACCTTTACTTACTTGACTGCCTTGTACCCTAGATAATGGTTTAACTGTGGATATTCGCAAAGCAAAATACCACCATAAGGGATGGCTTTGATTCCTGACTCAGAGATTCCTGAATGGGGAAGTTGAGTTAAGTTGAGTCAGGAGTAGACAAAGGAGATCCGATTAAAAGATATTCTGATGAGCAAAACCAAAAAACCTTTTCACATCTCAGTTCTAAAACGAGGTCAAACCAGAGATACCTGCAGCCAGGAGGAATAATGTTTGGATGTAAACAAGCTTTGTGAATAATGTTTGGATGTAAACAAGCTTTGTGAATAATGTTTGGATGTAAACAAGCTTTGTGAATAATGTTTGGATGCAAACAAACTTTGTGATTATAGGAAATTCTGTTACTTTTTACAACCTCTGATTGCATATCTGACTTCTCTATTGTATAGGCCATGTGAGGCATACATTTGCATTCCTCTTACTATGAGGTAAACCAGAGCCAAGAAAGTGTATTTATTCCTAGCCTTTGAAAAATAAAATTTGCTGTTTAGGCACAGCCTATCAGCCCTCCAGATGCCTCACTTTCTCTCTCTCTGTCTTTATTATTTTTCCAGGCGCACTCCCTCTTCCAGGTATTGGGACCCTCTTGCAGGTCGAGAGACCCCGGGCAGACGTGCCTACCCGTCTCGGACGGGCCATGACATTTAACTATAAAATTTGAAACTATTATCATTTTTACAGTGTATGTGTACTTAATTAAAAAAATTATTTTGTGTATTCACCATTGTTCATTTTCTCTGGATTCACTTTTTGTCTAGCTGAAGTAAATTCTTTGGTTTTTCTTTTTTCTTTCTTTTTTTTTTTTTTGAGATGGAGTCTTCCTCTATCACCAAGCTGGAGTGCAGTGGTGCAATCTCAGGCTCACTGCAACCTCCGCCTCCTGGGTTCAAGCAATTCTTCTGCCTCAGCCTCCCAAGTAGCTGGGACCACAGGCACGTGCCACCATGCCCGGCTATTTTTTGTATTTTCAGTAGAGATGGGGTTTCACCATGTTGGCCAGGATGGTCTCGATCTCTTGACCTCGTGATCTGCCCTGCGTCAGCCTCCCAAAGTTCTGGGATTACAGGGGTGAGCCACCACGCCCGGCCTAATTCTTTGGTTTTTCTAGTGAGTGATCTCTAAGCGGTAAACTTGCTGAGTGTTGTATGTACAAATTTGTCTTTGCTAGAAAATTTTAGCTAGGTTAAAAATTCTAGGTAGATATTTATTTATTCTCAGTATAGTAAAGTGATACTATATTATCTTCTGGAATCTATGGTGTGGCTGATAAAAATTATTCTCTTATTGTAACTCTAACTTCTTGGTAAATACTCTATCCTTTCTCTCTAAAAGCTTTTTTTTTCCTCAAAGATTTTATCACGAAAATTGTAAGCATACAGGAAAACTTGGGAGAATTGTACACTAAACATCAATATACTTTCACATAGATTCACAATTAACACTGTATCGTTCCTGCTTTGTCACTTTTCTACTTATCTGTGCATTTCTCTATCCACTCACTAACCGGTAGTCAAGTTTGAAACATTTCAAGGCTGCAGACATTAGCACTGTTCCCCCTAAAATATGTCAGCATGCATATCATTAACTAGAGTTCAATATTTATTTAGAGTTTTTTTGTTAAAATAAAATTTACAATGAAATGCACAAGTATTAAGTGTACCATTTGATGAGTTACTGTAACTGCATTTTTCTGCAACATGAAAATTCTTATCAAGATACAGAACATTACCATCACCCTGGAAAGAGTTCCTTATGCCCTTTCTGGTATATCTTTACCCAGTACCCATTAGGGCAATCACTACTCTTCTTTTGTTACCATAATAACTTAATTTGAATTTTTAAAAACTTTGTATAAATAAGGTTTTATAGCATATTCTCATTAGTGTGAGATTTCTTTCACTCAACATGTTTTTGAGATTCATCCATACTGTTAGATGTCTTAGTAGTTTGTTCCTTTTTATTGCTAAGTGGAGTACATTATCTGAACCTACCAAATTTTGTTTATAATACCCCTGTTGATGGACACCTCAAGCATTTTCGGTTTTTTGCTATTATGAAAACTCCCCTGAGCGCATTCTTGTATGAGTCTTGCTGTTTTTTCATATCTCTTGCATAAATACCTAGAAACAAAATTGCTGGGATATAGAATAGATGTATCAGTTCTTTCCCCACAGGACCCATGAAAATGATGGTGTGGAGCAAGCCCAGGTGGGTGCTGCCCTCACAGGTGTGTGCTGCAGTTGGAGGAATGCTTCACTGAGGAAACCCATGGGCTTATAAGGGGACTGCTAGCAAACCTGCCCAAACCTTGCCTCTGAGGGAGACATTCTCTTTTTAGCTGGAATTTAGGCAACTCTCCTCTGGGGATCTTAACCAAATCTCTTCCGGAGGTATCTCCTCTGGAAAATTTCTAAGGAGGGAGGTGTTCTCCACTTTATACTGGTCAGGGAATACATTTGCCCCATAATCTGGAGGCTACATGATCTCTATCTTACAAGGCTGCTTTGCTATTCAAATATCCTTGAAGCGATACTCTGAGGCATGTAGAAATGCCATGGAGAATGGCCTCCCAGGAAACTCACACCACATATTTGCTTCTGGCAAATGTCTCCATGAAGACAGCACCCCATCAGCCACTCTGATTAGTCAGACTCATGGGTTCAAATCCACTTAATTTGTTTCCTACAACATTTAAAAATGTTGACCCAGTGCGGTGGCTCACTCATGTTATCCTAGTACTTTGGGAGACCACTGCAGGAGGATCACTTGAGGTCAAGGGCTCAGAAACTAGCCGGGACAACATAGCGAGACCCCGTCTCTACACACACACACACACACACACACACACACACACACACACACACATTTCATAAACTGTAAATGATTTAGGTCCCTTATGACCACCTCTAAGGTCCAACTCACCTTACATGAGGGAGGCAAGTTAACGCCTGGCTTTCATATAAGAAGGATAATCCCCAAGGCACATGCGGTACTTCCAGAAGGGAAGTGTTTACAATTGTTGGGATTCTCTGAGTGGGATATTCATTAGTCAGGGGGAAGGTGAACAGTGTCTGCTACGTGGCTTCTGGCTGGCTGTAAGCCTTGAAGTTCCCAGTTCTGTTTGTTGCATCCAATCTTTGATTCGTTCGTGTGTGTGGTGGGGGAGAGGGTGGGCATGTGGGGGTACTGCTTGAGGGCAGTCTGTCCAATCTGTCCTCTTTGTCCATGACACCAACCAGGTGTCAGTCGCCCTCTAACAACTGATTGAGAATAGGAGTGGGGACGGTGTCTAGAGGGTTGTGTGGGACCTTAGAAGCTGGGGTCAGCCCCTGCTATCTCATGGTACAGAGAGGCCAACTCAGTATTCCCAGAGGCGGGAGCACTGGAGCAGGGTGTTTTCCTTCTGGACAAAGGATCCATGGATACTTCTGAAAGACGGCTATCACCAGTACTCCTCTTTCCCCCATACCTCTTTAGATGTCTTGATGTTGGCTCTTGCTTCACTGCTGCAGAATCTGCTGTACCATTCCAGGGGCTGTACCTTCATCTTTTATCCTGATCATCTCCTTTTCCCACTTAGACCATCCATCTACAAAATCAGATAGAAGTAGAGCAAAAGCATTTTCATAAAATGTGTCTAGAGTTGAATCTGAATCCCCTGGGCACTCGGAAGGCTGTGCCCATCGGGCTTCTAGGGAGAAAGAATGAGGCATCATCCCTAGGAATGGTCATAAAAGAATCCTGAATTTTCAAGATAGGTCTACAGAGCTCTCGCAATCCCCCACCACCTTTGTCCTGGTCACTGTCCAGGAAGAAGATGGTCCCTTCCTGGGGACTGCTCCCTTCAGTGAGCCTCCTGCCCTCCCATGGTGTGTGAACAGGAAGAGATGAGGGACATTCAGAAAATCAGTGCATTGTGGAGTCACTTTTCTGATAAAGGGCACATCAGACTGCAAATGGGCCAGATGGCCAGATTCATGACACTTTTGAGTTTCTGGGGTCACACTAGCGTTCTGGAGTCAGCGGCTCTGCAGCCTGAAGGAGGGCTGGCAGTACGGAGACACCGCTGAGATTGTTTAATGAAATTATATAGACATTGTGTAACAATTATGTAATTACATAATGAAAACTCTTCACATCGGAGTTCAGAACATCTCCCAACTTCCAATCGAGAGTATTATCCATACAACATCAGCTTCAAGGACTACGCCTTCTCACTGCACATTTGAATTTACACAACAAACACTTGAAAAGGGAACAAGCAAGAGCAGTTATCGTTCACTGTAAGGTGGCAGCAAGAGTTAATTTTCCATCAAAAATTTTGTTCAAAGGAAGACTATCTCCTATAGTCTCCCAAGCCCATGGCCCAAGGCTCATGCGAAGTTAAAACAGAACTCTGGCTGGGTGCGGTGGCTCAAGCCTGTAATCCCAGCACTTTGGGAGGCCGAGGCGGGTGGATCATGAATTCAAGAGATCGAGACCATCCTGGTCAACATGGTGAAACCCCAGCTCTACTAAAAATACAAAAAATTAGCTGGGCATGGTGGCGCGTGTCTGTAATCCCAGCTACTCAGGAGGCTGGGGCAGGAGAATTGCCTGAACCCAGGAGGCGGAGGTTGCGGTGAGCCAAGATCGCGCCATTGCACTCCAGCCTGGGTAACAAGAGTGAAACTCCGTCTCAAAAAAAAAAAAAAAAAAAAAAAGAAAAACAAAACAGAACTCTGTACTCAACCTCCAGATTGCTACACTGATCGTATTTTGCCCCATTCCTGTGAACCTAAATATGAAAAAAATCTTGAGTACTACTGGCATATAAAACTCAGAGAATCATATTTATACCTCTGCATAATTAACTTTATTCTCTTTGGTTTGAAGGAAAAAAGAAGGGGCATTGCTGGACCAGAGTAAAAAGGAGAGGGCAGAAAAAAATCCACCAGACTGGTAAGCAGGCAGAGTGAAGCAGTTACAGCTTTTGAGTTTATTAGGGCACTGCCCGTTGTATTCTTGAAGGCCTGCAGCTCCTGAGGGCCAGGATAGTTCTGTACCTCCTGTATCGGTTAGGAGGTCAACTAACAGGCTGTGACAAAGAGGCCTGAGGATGCAATGGCCTCAACAAAATGGTTTCTCATGCATGTGATAGTCCAGAGGTCCACAGTTAATAGGGAGGTGTTATCATCCTCAGTATGACTTTATTTCTGGTTCAAATTTATATGAATTTGGAAAAATGTTCCTCAGAGGGCTAAATAAAGAAAGGTATGTGTGTACAATTGTAAACTATACATATATAATTATATATGTAATTGTAAGTTATACATGTATATGTATAACCATATTTTATGTGAAATTTATGCTTGTGAAGTCTGTTTTTATGTATCTATCAATCCTTATATATACATATGTAATTATTTATCTCTACATATAAAGAGACATAAATACAGAGAAAATCAATGGCAGTTCATTCATGAAAATATATGCAGTGGTTACATTTGGTCAGTGATGTTTATATTTTTATTTGTGGTTTTTAAATGTATGTGTGTATATTGAAATATTAGAAATCATCATTTGTAGTGAAAAAGTGTTCTTTAAAAAGTAACATATGCAAAAAGAAACGACTAGGAGAATATTTGAACAAATCATCATATGGAGATAGCCATCATCATCTGTGGGCATCCAGATGGTGGTGTTTCATACCGTTTTATTTTCTGAGTTTCCTATAATTATATTCTTTATAACCAGACCCCTAAAGTCTTATTTATTTTAGTCATGGTCTGAAGACTTCCTTTCTTCTAGACGATGAAGGTTTAAGTCTCATTTTCCAAATGATTGTTAATTTTGAATCAGTGGATCTAAATAGTAAACATTTTAGAGTCTTATTGGAAATTATTAATTCTTATAAAACTATATGCCTTCTATTCTTGCCAGTTGATGGGGACTGCTTGGTTGGTGGATGTGTATAGTTTTGTTTGGAAAGGAAAAAAAGTGGCTGCATCCATTTTAAGAATGGGTGTTTTTAAATTAAAAATTTGTTTGGACCGAATCATTATAAGATTTTTCATTTAAGTCTGTGTATATGTAGACAAATTCTAAGGTACTTCAGTATGCAGTTAAATCCTGTGTGTAATTAAAAAGCTGACACTCCTAAAGCAGAAAATGCTCTGGACACCCGCTTGAGGTTCCGTGTCTAAGTGTCTAAAGAAAGAGGATCCAGAATTAAATCCAGGACTCCCTCACTACCTTTTGATCCAGCCTGTCAGCTGTTGTTCTGCCCTGTTCTATTAATACATTTTCCCCTGCCTATCCCCAGGTAATGGCAAAGCCGATGGCCAGTTGATGTCCAGTGAAAAGAAGGCGAACGTGAATCTCCAAGGCCCTTTCAAGATTAGGAGTAAGATAAAAGTTTATGCCACTTTCCTTTTGCCCTACAGGTCAATACAAATTTTACTGAGATGATGAACTTAGATCCTCCTTAATTGTTTACTTGTCAAGCTTAGTCAATTTGAGAACAGTGAAATCTAAAAAAGCAAACCCATTAGAAGTTAGGGTTGTAAGTTGATTATATTCATGTAATATATTCATATCGGCCCAGTTTCTAAAATAGTTTTCCTCTGTTTTTTATCTGATTTTCCTGGAAATTCCTTTGCCTTACATCATTGGTTTATTAAAATGGCCGGACTTGGCAAATTGTGAGCAGATTACAGGTTATTCTCTTACTGCCCTTTCAAGTCCTCCTTCTAGATGAGTTATTTCCTCTCTTGAGCACAGAGGTACAAATATCTTTCCTCAATGTGATATGAGTAGCACACCTTTCACCACCTGATAGGGTTTCCCTTAACTCACAGAATTGTCATTTATTTGTGTCTCTGCTAAGAAAAACCCAAGTGCCTTCACTTAATTTTGTGGTTTTGTCTCAATTTTCTCTGAATATTTTAGTTTCTGTAATGACAGCAGTCATCATTTTGATCTTACAAAGATTAAATAAATTAGTGGATGTATAAGAGTTTAACATATATAGTATGCCATATATATTTCAAATATGTATATTTGAAATGAAATATGAAATGAACTTTCAAAATATGAAATGAACCTTCAAAATGTGGAATGAAGCATTTATACCGTTGCTTGAGATATATGTGAAATAGTGATTTCAATTAGTTTTTTTTCTAATGTAAGAATAGGAAAATGATATATAAAGTGAATCTAATACTACCCATCTAATTCTTCATACTTTAAAGGCTAGGGTTTAAATCTTTTTATTTATGCATTCAACAGGCTTTTGGAAAGTTACATTTAAATGGAATTTTTGGAAAGCAGTAATATATGTAATACAGCTGCTTGTCTGTGCCTCTGATTATATTATTCTACTTTCTCAGGCAGAAAGAGAGGCAGACCTAAATCCCGCTTCGCCCAGAGTGACAGAGCTCCACAGAAAGGAGTCCGATCAAGAGGTAAAAAAGAAAAGAGGAATGCACTTTCAATAACCAAACATCTAATTTACTGTGCTTCGTGCCGTATTTTCAGTAATAAACCTATTTCCTTAATTGTTTTGTGAAGCTGACTACTGAGAAATATATCCAATTTAGCCACTTCTAAAACGTGTCAAGGAAAGAAGGAAGTAAGTTGGTGATGCAGGGGCCTGGGGACATGAAAATGCTACTTACACTGAAATGATAAATTTCATGGCTGGAGATAGTTCATTGCCATACAAAGGGTATAACCCATAAGTTACTTAGCTGACCTTCCTCTGGCTACACAGAAAGCCACAGGTTGCACGCTAAGGGTGAACCAGAGTTGTGGTTATAGATCTGTGTCCTAAGACTGTCTTTTCCTTTGTGTGGGCTTGAAGTGATCACTTGACCTTATTTGCTTCAGTTTTCTCATTTGGAAAGCAGGAGCATGAATTAGGCCAACCATCTTTTTTTTCATTTTTATTTTTATTATACCTTAAGTTCTGGGATACATGTTTAGAACATGCAGGTTTGTGACATAGGTATACATGTGCCATGGTGGTTTCCTGCACCCATCAACCTGTCATCGACATTAGGCATTTCTCCTAATGCTCCCCCTCCTCTTACCCCTCACCCCCAGACAGGCCCCAGTGTGTGATATTCCCCTCTCTGTGCCCATGTGTCCTCATCTCCCACTTATGAGTGAGTACATGTGGTGTTTGTTCTTCTGTTCCTGTGTTAGTAAGCTGAGAATGATGGTTTCCAGCTTCATCCATGTCCCTGCAAAGGACCTGAACTCATTCTTTTTTATGGCTGCATAGTATTCCATGGTATATATGTACCACCATTTCTTTATCCAGTCTATCACTGATGGACATTTGAGTTGGTTCCATGTCTCTGCTATTGTGAACAGTGTTGTAATAAACATATAGCAGAATGATTTATAATCCTTTGGGTATATGCCCAATAATAGCATTGTTGGGTCAAATGCTGTTTCTGGTTCCAGATCCTTGAAAAATCACCACACTGTCTTCCACAATGGTTGAACTAATTTATACTCCCACCAACAGTGTAAAAGCATTCCTATTTGCTCACATCCTTTCCAGCATCTGTCATTTCCTGACTTTTTAAAGATCATCATTCTAACTATTGTGAGATGGTATCTCATTGTAGTTTTGAGTTGCATTTCTCTAATGACCAGTGATAGTGGCTGCATACATGTCTTCTTTGAAAAGTATCTGTTCATATACTTCACCCACTTTTTGGTAGGTATTTTTTTTTCTTGTAAATTTCTTTAAGTTCTTTGTAGATTCTGGATATTAGCCCTTTATAAAATGGATAGATTGCAAAACTTTTCTCCCATTCTGTACATAGGCCAACCATCTTTCTTATTAGTCCAGCCCAGTTCTAATAGTCTGCCTTTCTAAAAATTTGTACCAGGACCGAGGACAGCTCCCCTGTTTATCATGACTTCTGTTGCCCAGGCTGGAGTGCAGTGGTGTGATCTCAGCTCACTGCAACCTCTGCCTCTCAGGTTCAAGCAACTCTCCTGCCTCAGCCTCCCAAGTAGCTGGGATTACCGGCGGGTGCCACCACACATGGCTAATTTTTGTATTTTTAGTAGAGATGGAGTTTCACCACATTGGCCAGGCTGGTCTTGAACTCCTGACCTCAAGTGATCCACCCGCCTTGCCCTCCTGAAGTGCTGTGATTACAGACATGAGCCATCGTACCTGGCCCTACACCTTTGGTTGGAAGGGCAGGATTTGCTGCTCACCCTCCTGGAGTTCCTTTAAAGAACTTTCACCCCCTACTTCTGTGAAATCAAGTCTCCAGTATAATTGTATATCAATTATACAGTCCATCTGCCACCCTGTATAATTTTCAGATTATTCTAGAGCTTCCTGAGCTCTTCTCTCAGCTATGGGGAAAGCTGACATAAAGGAGAAATGAACCAAAGCAGAGAACAAAAATAGAAGGCAGATATCATCTCCATTAGGTTATCTCATCATTATCCTCTCCCTGTTTGCCCAGTCAGTGCTAAAATGGGGAGATCGAGTATGGTCCCTGGCTTCATCTGAGGCTACCTACCTGCAGCAAAACTGCATACCTGGAGAGCTCCTGTCAGACCAGTGACAGCAACTGTGTTTCATTATCATATAAGAATCAGTGGAGCTTACTAGATTAGGAGTTTTACTGAAGTCTAATTTCTCTGCTAAAGCATTCCATTTTGTATGAAATTTGAAAGGTAAAATTGGGGTAGATATTCTGTAGTTATGTATCAAAACTGCCACTTAGAAGGAAGACTTTGAAACTCTAGAAATTTTTGGAATCGAATTTTCTAAGTATCCCTTGTATCTTTATAGGAATTACCTCAGTAGGGAGGGGGGATGTGCCTTTGCAAAGTGAGACAGAATGAAGAGATCCTCTCTTTCAGCTTCAAGAAAGCACAAAGACAAAACTGTGGATTTTAAGGCTCCTTTACTTCCAGTGACCTGTGGTGAGGTGAAAGGAATTTTACATAAGAAGAATTTGAAACAAGGTAGGTTTTACGATCTTCTTTAATTTGCACCTCCTATCTGAAGGTATCACAAGTAGTGGGGAATTATGTGAATTACACATCATTCAAGGAGTTTTGACCCCAGTTTGGCTTGCGAGAAGGAGGAAGGGATCCCTAAGATGACATTTTCAGACTTTAAGAAATCGTACCCATTAAATGCTCACTCGCACAGGTGCCCGCAGAACCAAGGAGAAGTGCAGGAACGTCAGTTCACAGGTGGAAAATGTCATGTATTTTACCTTGAGTCAGACAGAAAAGGGGAGAGGCCCTCAGCCTCGATCTTCATATTCTTTCTTCCTTCTGGAGTACTGTCACCAAGGCAGGGTACTTGGCTTAGGGTGACAATCTCAGGTTTTAAAATTAGGAAGCCTGAGTTCCAGCCTTGGCTGTGCCAGGAGTGACTGTTCCATTCTGAGTAGAGAAGGGGCCTTTCTGAACCTGAAATTCCTGATCTGAGAGGAGAAGAATAATTGAGCACCTGCCTCATGATATAGCTGTAAGAACTAATTTGCATATTGATGTAAAATATATACATTTACATGTTTTTATTGTAAATTATAAGAAACTTTGCAAAAAATGTCTATTAGAATGGCCATCATCTCAGACTAAGACTACTCATAATATGACTCTTTGGATGCCAATTAATAGAAATGTTTGCATTGTGACTAGTTTTAAACAGCTTTACTGAGATATAGTTCACATATCATACAACTCACCACTTAGAGTGTACAAATCAACTATTTTTTGTATATCCACAGAATTGTACAGTCATCATTATCCTCTAATTTTAGAACAATGTGTTCCCCACTAAAAAAAAAAAAACCCTTGTCAATTAGTAGTCAATGCCCATTCCCACCTAAGCAGCCACTAATCTATTTTCTGCTCTATAAGTTTGCCTATTGTAGGCCTTTCTATAAATGGAACTCTAAAATACATGCCCTTTCCTGACTGCCTTCATTCACTGAGCATGATATTTTCTTTTTCTTCTTTTTTTTTTGAGACGGAGTTTCGCTCTTGTTACCCAGGCTGGAGTGCAATGGCGTGATCTTGGCTCACCGCAACCTCCGCCTCCTGGGTTCAGGCAATTCTCCTGCCTCAGCCTCCTGAGTAGCTGGGATTACAGACCCATGCCACCATGCCCATCTAATTTTTTGTATTTTTAGTAGAGACGGGGTTTCACCATGTTGACCAGGATGGTCTCAATCTCGACCTCGTGATCCACCTGCCTCGGCCTCCCAAAGTACTGGGATTACAGGCTTGAGGAGCATGATATTTTCAAAGTTTATCCACAGTGAATGTATTAGTACTTCATTCATTTTACTGACAAATAATATATTTCATTGTATAGATTTACTACATTTTGTTTATAAACTCATTATTTGGAACTATTCTCACTCTTTGGCTATTGTAAATAACTCTGTTTTGAACATTTGTGTAAGAAGTTTTGTGTGAACGTATTTCAGTTCTTTTGGGTGTATATTCAAGAGAAGAATTACTAAGTCATATCGTAATTCTGTGTTTAACTTATTGAGGAATCACCAAAGTGTTTTCCACAGTGGCTGCACTATTCTATATTCCCACCAGCAATGTTTGAAGGCTCCAATTTCTCTACATGCTCACCAACCTTGTTATCGTCTGTGTGTGTGTGTGTGGGGGGGGGGTGTTTTAATTACAGTCATCCTAGTGGGTGTGACATGGTATCTCACTGTGGTTTTGCTTTATGTTTCCTTAATGACTAACGGTGTTGAGCATGTGGCTATCTTTTACATAAACATGAAATTTTTTTATTGGATAACATTTCCAATTAGTTTCTAAATACCAGCTACCCATGATTGCAGAGATGTGAAAATCTCTGTTCACTAATGCCATTAAACTGCACAAAATATGTTATCATTGAGAGTGCAGATGTTGCTGGAGTGGCCCCCTGAGCCATAGGGCACCCATCTTAGACCGTAGCCACAAGTTGAGGATTCTGCCTCCAGCATTGCCCTCAGAGCCATCTGGAGACTCAGGCCTTGTCTCTACTTACAAATTTGGATAACAAATTGGAATCCTGTTATCTTTCAGAATCACTTTCTTTTCCTTCTATACATGCTTTTGAAACACTTAAAGGGATGCTCTTGATGATAATTATCACTTTCTTCATGGATGAAAGTCAAATAAATGTGTACCCTCACCGGGAATATCCTTAGAGGGGACTTTCAGGCTGGATTTGGGGCCTCTGAAACTTGAGAGGGAAGGCCAGACCCTCCTGCTGTTGATCTGGATCACAAATTATGTGATCAGTTGGTGAGTGGCCACAGTCTGAGCACTGGGAACAAAGAGGGCTCAGGATCAACTTACCCTGGTCTTACAGGAATCTTGGTGAAGTGTATACAGAGTGAGGATGGAAATTGGTTCACCCCCAGGGAATTTGAAATCAAAGGCGGCCACGCAAGATCAAAGAACTGGAGGCTGAGTGTGCGCTGTGACGGGTGCCCCCTACGATGGCTGATGAAGGTATTTCAGTGACAAGGGGCCAGACCTGTGTCCGTTCTTGTTATTCTCTAATAATGAGGTCACTGTTTATTCACCAAATGTGTGTTAGGTCATAGCTAAAGCCTTGATGCCAGTGAGTTTATCCTCTCATTCAGGAGAGAGGGACTCCATATTCATAACCCAGTGCAGCACATCCATGTTGTACCAGGGACTCCATCAGGATAGACACAGCAGCTTGGAGGAGGGAAGGGTCATCCTGACTAGGGTGTGTGTAGACAGCTTTGTGCACTGAAAGAAAGAAGAGAGTTGACAGTCAAGCAGTGGAGGAAGACTCTTCAGAGAAACAATGGCATATGAGCCAGAATGGCATGAAAACTATAACCATGGCAAAGGTAGCTTTGTGGATTTATGTAGACAGGTTGTGTGCAATTAGGCATAATCCAACAATTGGGACAGTTTGTAGAGGGCTTTAATGCCAGGCTGAAGAGATCAAAGCTATAACTGAGATAACAAGGATTCAGTGAAATATTTTAGGATTTGTAATGACATTTAGAACAATATTTGATTTGATTTGATTTATTTGTAGGAGACAATCTTGCTCGGTCACCCAGGCAGGAGTGCAGTGGCTTGATCTCGATTTACTGCAACCTCTGCCTCCCAGCGTGATTCTTGTGCCCCAGGCTCTCAAGTAGCTGGGACTACAGTTGTGCACCACCCTGCCAGGCTAATTTTTGTATTTTTAGTAGAGACGAGGTTTCACCGTGTTGGCCAGGCTGATCTCAAATTCCTGGCATCAAGTGATCGGCCCTCCTCAGCCTCCCAAAGTGCTGGGATTACAGGAAACAGCCACTACACCTGGCCATAAAACAGCATTTTAGGCAGCCATCAGGCTTTCCCCACAGGCAAACCTATACTCAATCTAGAATGCTCAGCTCAAGTGTTACCCCTTCCTGAATGTTCATTGAGCTGGCCATGGGTAATCCCTTCCCAGGACTCCTGAGCCCTCTGCTAAGGCCTTTCATTCACTGTTTTGTATTTATTCTTTTGTGAGTGCTTTTTGTCTGTAGACCAGTTTTCCCATCTTCATGTGTCCAAGATTGGAGTGACTGACACCCAGTAGCAGGCAGTAAGTGTGTGCTGCTCGGATAGCTCTGGTGTAGGGACTCCAGCTGGAGTGGCACTGGTGGGACTGGAAAAGAGGCGATAGATGGTATGAGATTACTAAAACCTCTTAGGATTTGGTAAAGAAGCACAAGAAAAGGGAAAATGGTGCTGAAGATGATTTTCTGGCTTCTATTGATTAAAGTATAGAAGCAGCACAGATGAAGAGAGGGAGATGGTTTCTGATTCAGACACCTTGGGTTTGAGCTGGCAGTGGGACATTCAGGTAGAAATATTTGGGAGGAGGTTGGAAATGCCAGACTCACAAAACAGAAACACAGACTGACCTTGTACCCGAATCTTTTTGTCTTTCAGAATGGATTTCTGCCTAATCCTCCAAAATATAGAAAGAAGAAGGTAATTATTACATACCTTTCTACAGGTTCTTGTCACATAACTGATTTAACATGCACAAAATCTTCTTTTATGGAGTCTGAAATTGGGTGTTTATAATTAAGCTTCCACCTTCTCCACTACCCACTTTAAAACAATTTTTGGTATATGCCTTCAGAGTTGCTAATTTGAATGGTAAATATATATGAAGCTAGGCCCTCTTTGCATTAAACAATTTCATATGAAGATGAAAAGGAACCATCAAAATAGACCTCCCGGATCTGTTTTTTTTTTTTTTTTTTTGCAATAGGTGCAGATGCTTTAAAAGTGTCAAAGTTGAAAAGTCAAACATGGTCATCAGATACATAAAAATGTTTCAAAATAAGGTGAAAGAAACCATCTCAACTCAAAATTCAGATTTTTTTCATTGAAGTTACTATTTTCTAACTTTAGCAAAATCAGATGGAGCAGATGTTTGCTCACATTTGAGACATATATGAAGCCATTTATCATTTCATGAAATAGCCAACAAAAAGAATATTTATTTTCTGATCCTTCACATTCTCTTTCATCTTCCAAAAAAATGTACACAGAGACACACAGAATGTCTTCTCAAGGGGAAATTATTTCCCATGACCAGGATGGTACCACTGGGGAGGAAGGTCTCGGAAGGTAAATGTATTTTATAGAAGGGGCTGATCAGGAAATGATGCCACCTCTTTGGCTCTGCCAGAGGGACTGTGCAGACCTGCTTTTTATCTGTGAAACTGATTTTTCCCTCTCTTGAAGAATGCAGCAAACAAATAGGTTAAGGGCAGTGTAGATTCAGGACAAGGTGATGACTTTCCAAGACTGGGTATGAATGAGAACCTGAGAAGGGGAAGGGAAAAAGTGTCATCCTTAGGCACTTCAGGTAGAAATATGCATTTAAGACACTCACAGACTTCTAAAACAGCCACTGGGCTTCATATTCTACTGAGAGCCTGAGATCCGGGCCTTTGCATTATCCAGTGTTCTGGCTGATTTGAACTCTCAGCCACTGAGACATTTCATCCACTGAGTTTCCTGAAAGGAAACTACTATGTCACCTATTCAGTGAGTACACTAAAGACCAGCATCTCTTCCTTTCCCTGGGTGCCATGAGAAACTCAGTCTAGATGACCCAAATGAACTGGCAATTGCCAACTAACTGACTCTCTCCCAATTCTGGGGTATAACACTTTGCAGCAACAAGCTGCCATTGCCTCTATATTTTGTGTCTCCTCTTGGAGAGAACAGAAGGTCCCTTAAGTGGCAGATCTCAGAAACCATATGAACTCCATGGATCCTCTGTGCCTCTCAGAGCTTCTCTTGCTTGTAGAGCCACTTGGCTTCTGGAAACTAAATTCAGTGTCACTATCAGTGCCACATGGTAGTAGTGTCTCTGCTCAGGCTTATGACAAGGGCCACATAAACCTTTTTGTAGCAGCTGAGGTGTTGTAAAACAATCAGATATACTCACCCAGAATAATCATTGTGTGCTAATGTTTGCTTAAGAGACTGCAGTAATTTTTCAGTGAGATAATATTCATTTATTCACTCATTCAACATATAATTATCAAGCACATACTAAATGCCAATAACCATCACAGAAGATTGACCTCAAAAATTATTTGAGGCCAGGCGCAGTGACTTGAGCCTATAATGCCAGCATTTTGAGAGGCTGAGATGGGAGGATGACTTGAGCCCAAGAATTTGAGACCAACCTGGGCAACATAGTGAGATACTCCTTCTACAAAAACAAAAACAAAAACAAAACACCCAACAAAAAAGAAGCAAAACCCCAGGCATCATGGTGCACACCTGTAGTCCCACCTACTCAGGAGACTGAGGTGGGAGGATCACTTGAGGCTAGGAGGTCAAAGCTATAGTGAGCTTCGATTTCATCATGGCACTCCAGCCTGGGTGACAGAGTGAGACTCTGTCTCAAAAAAAAAAAAAAAGATTGTTTTAATTTTATTGTAAACATGGATGAATTACAAATGGGGTGGGATGGGAGATCTAGGCTAGTCAGAGAAGCAGTCAGGGGACAAGGTCACCTCTCAGGTGCTTGTCCTTTGGATCACACTTGTTTATGGCCTCTGTTGCCATGGTTATAGACAAAAACTGAGCCTGTCTGTATCCCAGAAGGGAAGGATGCCAAGTCATGCAGCGGATACCCAAAAGCAATCTAAATAAATCTAGTGGGTTATCTCTGAAAATTCAGTCAACCTGATGTCTTTTTGTGATTTGTATAGAAGGGAGAGGGAGAGGCTTTCAGGAAGAAGAACTGCAGCACAGAGGAACTTGGAGGCATTTTATCACCAGGGCTGTGTCCCTAGAGGGGCTGGAGAAAGCAGTGTTCTTCTTCTCTGGGACACTTGCATGGCCTCCAGGACTCTGGGCCCTAGGTCCCTGGAGGCTGTGGGGGATGAGTCCTCAGCCTGATTATTATTGCAGCTCCTCTGGGTGGGATGACACAAAGGTCAAGTTTAGGAGATATGACTGAGGGCCCCTTGGAGTAAGAGGACAAGTAGAGTTTCTCTGACTTGGCCTTTGCAAACTAGGTCCAGACTCCCTGCAGGTAATGGGACTTGGGTTGGGCTGAACGGTAATACTTGGGCACTTTTCATTCTCTCAGTAGATATGGAGGTCCATAAAATCAGGTGTGAGGCCAAGGGAAGACTGTTTAAAAAAACTAAAACTTTAGACAAAATAAACTTAATAGCATTTATTGGAGCAAAGAGCAAGTCATGAATTGGGCAGCACTCAGAACAAGAAGTTCAGAGAGCTCTTCTGCAGCAGTCCAGACAGTGAGGCCAACACAGGAGTAAGACAGAGAAACTACATATAATGGTTATCATGGAAAGATGCTAATTAGACGTTAGATGGTGAATTCTAGTTGGCAAAGTCTCTAGTTTCATTTTACTGTTTACATCAGGTTTCAGTTTGCTTACCTAGGAACTTAAAGCACTGGAGCCACCCCAGCCTGCTGGCCTTCTTATCTTCCCAATTATTTTTTACAACTTATTCCTGAATCCCTTCAAAGATGACTATTTGCATTTAAATAAGTTATAGATGGAAACAACACATTCAATATTATAAATCAATCTTTCTTTCTTTCAACAGAGAAGACTTGTGAAGTCTCACAAGAATACCTCAGTTGACCCTTGTGTAAGTACAAATTCTGAACTATTACTTCCAGAATGTCCCACTCCTTTCTCCAGGCGTATGTTCTGTGTCATGACTGCTGTTCCCTGAAAGATGTTCAGTCTCAGTTGGAGTATGTTGCTGTGTGTGATGAGCAAAGAATACCAGACGTATCCCCCAAGCCAGGTAGATGTGTCTGGGCTTGGCTGTCTCAGTGTGAAAGCATTCTTTCCCTTTGTTTCAGTGGAAACCTTCCAAAGTTCTTATTTTCCCTGGATAGTGAGTATGGGAGGCTGAGCTCTAGACCACTGAGGTCTCTAGAGACAAAGCTTGATGTGGTAATGGGTAGGGCTGGCCTGGTGATTAGGGGGAAGGAGCAAATGTGAGAGGATAACAGCATTTTCAAGTAAGTGGTGTGGATGAAAGGGAAAATCCTGAAAATGTACTCCAAGGTGCAGGTAGAGCTAAAGATGGTCTTACACATCAGCCAGAAGGAACAGGCCAGGCCAAGCTATTATGTTCAAGGTGTGGAGCCTGTCATTAGTCCAGTAAAGGAATGGCTCAGGGAAGCGATTAGGGTGCTGAGCTGGTTAGGATTGAAACCACCATGACCTAGCAAATCATGAGGCGTTTTTACTCAGCTGCTTATCTAGTGCTCAGTACTATGCAAACCTTCTGATCCCATGGGCCCCATCCATTCTCTGCTTGCTATATGGCTGCCTGCACTGGGTTCTGCTGAAATCATAGATGAGTCCCTTCTGTAAATGAAGTCATGGTTTGATTCTTTTCATTGCAGTGAAATGTCTATTTTAGGCAGGGGACAGCACTCACACAGAATATCATACAGTAACACTGACACATGACACTTAACAGAGGAGGGATAAGCAAATAGTTTCATATTAACCTTATATCCAAAGCAATCCTCCAACAAATTTGGGTGTTATCCACACTGATTTTGATGCCCAGCCAATTCAGGGGCTCATGAACAGTTAAAACAGCCCTGGAGGTCAGTATTTGTGTGGCTAATTTTGTATGGGCTAAACATGGAGGTTTAGGTTTCACAGCCGACAGCCAGATGTATGTGGGGAAAAGAGTGAAACAGTTCCAGCAAAGGCATGGTCACCCCTGTTAATAAGTTTTCCAAGGCCAGTAACAACATTGACTTATAACATCCCCATGTCTCCATAACCAGACTTTGCTCAGGTTGTATCTCAAATTGTCCTGCAGCCTGGAATCACCTGAAGAGCTTTAAAAAAAAAATTGTTTCCTGTATCCCACTTCTGGGAAATTTCTAATTTAACCAGTCTGCACTACATATGACTTGAACATTAGGATGTTTTAAAGATCACCAGATGTACCAATTCTGATACATAGCATTGCCCGTTCTGTTATAAAGAAGAACATCAGTGCCTGTGCCTCAACCCTGACCCACTGATTCAGAATCTCTGGTGTTGGGTTCAGGACATTAGCATTTTGTATGTTCTCCTGAGATGGGTTTAATGCATAGCCAGGCCAATAACCAAAGAACCAGAGAAATCAAATCTCTTCTTGAAAAGATATGGGTTTGGAAGGCAGAAAAAAGGCATATAAGAGGCAGGACTAACTTGCTCCTCCTGCTCAGATGGACAGAACAGCATGTTGAGAGTCACACTGTAAACTTTTGCTCCAAGAACCACCACAGGAATACACCAGCAAAACTGAAGGAATCACAAACCCTTTGAAAGAAGTAGCTTGCCACTGCAAATTCCACAACCGAAAAACTGTGAGTTTCCAAAGTGTGAGAGGGAGAAAGTCCATCTCTGAACACACATCCTCACTGGGGAACCTGGAAATCCAGATCACAGGAGAAGGATTTAACGTAACCTAGACCTGAAATGAATTTAGGGAGCTGGCTGAAATATAAAAGTAGAAGCAGCAGCAGGAAGAGCTGTCTCCCCCAAGGACCCCGGTAGGCAGGTCCCCAGGGAAGTCATTTTTGACTTTATCTCACAGGAGTCCTTGGTGAGGGCAGCCAGTACAATTTGGGGAGGGCCATGGGGAGAAGGAGGCTTCTAGCTGAACTTTGCAGTAATTTTGACCAAGCACAAATTTTCCTGGTCAGAATCTGAAGGGTGTAAACCTGAAGTACAGATATAAGCACAGAAGCCAAGGCAGACAGGGAAGGGTGAGACCTGAAAGCCCTGCTTGCTTTCTCAATGGGGAGGCTTGTAGCCTGGGGCAAGACCTTAGCTCCAGACAAGGGAGGCCTGGATGTAAATTATGTTCTGTTGGCTGTTGGGGCACCATGGCGGTGGGAGTGAGACAGGCCTTTCTGGCTGCCTGGGACCTAGGTAAGGCCTGTCACTGCTGGCTTCTCTTACTTTTCTGGCAAATTGTATGAAGCAGCAGAGGCAGCCATAATCCCCTCTGGAACATAACTCCATTAGCCTGAGAACCACTCCCTCATCCGCTACAGTGGCCACAGTAAGCCCTGCCTGAGAGTCTGAGCTCAGACACACCTAACCCTGCTCCCGGCTGATGGTCTTTCTCTACCTGCCCCTGGAGCTGAAGCCAAAAGACATAGACTCATGGGAGATCTGTGACCTCACCCTTCACCTGAGAAACCTAAATATTTATCCAGTGACCTTAGGTCAAGCTTGTATCTCCCCCATACGACTTGCAGCTGATGCACTCTTGAAAGTGCCACCTCCTGGCTGAAGGCCAGACAACTCAAGTCATGACAGCCACACATAACAGAACAGCCTTGCTGCAGGAAGGAGAAAACAACAGTGCATTCTGCTGCCTTAACATCCTGGCTCACTAGAGGTCCTGAGTCTGTCCATGTGACAGCTTCACTGTTAGCATAACCAGCATTTGAGAAAAACAGTGCATTAAACAAAACTATGCCCAAGGACTCTCACAGAATCCACTTCACTCCCCTGCTGCCTCCACCAGAACTGGTGCTAGTGCCCATGATTGGGAGGATTGAAGACAGAAAACATCATAGGACCCTTTGCAGATATACCCCAGTACTAGCCCAGAACGCAATAGCTCTGCTGGGTGGCCAGACCCAGAAGAGCAATAACAATCACAGCAGTTTGGCTCTCAGGAAGCCCCATCCCTATGGGAAAGGGGAGAGTACCACATCAAGGGATCACTCTGTGGGACAAGAGAATCTGAAGAGCAGCCCTTGAGTTAGAGATCTTTCCTCTAACATAGTCTACACAAATGAGAAGGAACCTGAAAAACAATTCTGATAATGAGAAAACAAGGTTCTATAACATCTCCAAAAGATCATATTAGCTCTCCAGCAATGGATCCAAACCAAGAAGAAATCCTTGAATTGCCAGAAAAGGAATTCAGAAAGCTGATTATTAAGCTACTCAAGAAGGAACCAGATAAAGGTGAAACCAACTTAAAGGAATTAAAATAAAAATAGAGGATATAGATAAAAAAAAGTCTCCAGAGAAATAGATGTCATACATAAAAATATATTAAAACTTCTGGAAATGAAAGACATACTTAGAGAAATACAAAATACACTGGAAAGTTTCAACAATAGACTAGAGCAAGTAGAAGAATGAACTACAGAACTTGAAGTCAAGGCTCTCAAATTAACCCAATCCAACAAAGAAAAATAACTTTCTAAAAAATCAACAAAGCCTCCACAAAGTTTAGAATTATGATAAATGACCAAACCTAAGAATAATTGGTGTTCCTCAGCAAGAAATCTGAAAGTTTGGAAAACATATTTGAGGGAATAATCAAAGAAAATATTGCTGGCCTTTCTAGACAGTTAGACATCCAAATACAAGAAGCTCAAAGAACATCTGGAAAATTCATCACGAAAAGATAATCACCCAGGCAAAGACTCATCAGGTTACCTAAAGTCAAGACAAAGGAAAGAATCTTAAGAGCTGCGAGACAAAAGCATCAGCTAACCTACAAAGAAAAATCTATCAGATTAACAGCCGATTTCTCAGCAGAAACCCTACAAGTTAGAATGGATTGGGATCCTATCTTTAGCCTCCTTAAACAAAATAATTATTAGTCAGGAATTTTGTATCCAAGAAACTAAGCTGATAAACGAAGGAAAGATAAAGTCTTTTTCAGACAAACAAATGCTGAGAGAATTCACCACTACCAAGCCAGTGCTACAAGAACTGGTAAAAGAAATTCTAAATCTTAAAACAATACATCAAAATATACCAAAATAGAATATCCTCTTAAAGCATGAATATCATAGGGCCTATTTAAAAAACACACAGTGAGAAAATAAGGTATTCAGGCAAATCCATAGCCAACATAGTACTGAATGGGGAAAAGTTAAAAGCACTCCCACTGAGAACAGGAACAAGACAAGGATGACTACTTTTACCCCTTCTATTCAACGTGATACTGGAAGTCCTTGCCAGAACAATCAGACAAGAAAAGGAAATAAAGTGTGTCCAAATCAGCAAAGGGGAAGTCAAACTGTTGCTGGTCACCAATGTGGTCATATACCTAGAAAACCCTAAGGACTCATCCAGAAACCTCCTAGATCTGATAAATGAATTCAGTAAAGCTTCAGGATACAAAATTAATGTACACAAATCAGTAGCACTGCTATACACTAACAGCGACCAAGCTGAGAATCAAATCAATAACTCAACTCCTTTTACACTAACTGCAAAAAATTAAAATGCTTAGGAATATACCTAACCATGGAGGTAAAATACCTCTACAAACTACAAAAAATTACAAAACTCTGCTGAAAGAAATCACAGATGACACAAACAAATAGAAACATGTCCCATGCTCATGGATGGGTAGAATCAATATTGTGAAAATGATCATACTGCCAATAGCAATCTACCAATTCAATGCAATTCCCATCAAAATACCATGATCATTTTTCACAGAACTAGAAAAAACAATCCTAAAATTAATATAGAACCAAGAAAAGAGCCCATGTAGCCAAAGCAAGACTAAGCAAAAAGAACAAATCTGGAGGCATCCCATTACTTGACTTCAAACTATACTACAAGGCTATAGTCACCAAAACAGCATAGTCTGGGTATATGTACTATGTACTGAGCATATACCAGTACTGACACGTAGACCAATGGAATGGAAGAGAGAACTCAGAAATAAAGCCAAACATTTATAGCCAACTACCTTTGACAAAGCAAACAAAAGCATAAAGGGGGAAAATGATACCCCATTCAACAAATAGTGCTGGCATAATTGGCAAGCCAAATTTAGAAGAATGAAGCTGTATTCTCATTTCTCACCTTATACAAAATTCAACTCAAAATGGATCAAAGACTTAAATCTAAGACCTGAAACCATAAAAATTCCAGAAAATAACATCGAAAAACTCTTCTAGACATTGGCTTAGGCACAGAGTTCAGGACCAAAAACGCAAAAGCAAATGCAAGAAAAACAAAGATAGTTGGGACTTAATTAAGCTGAAAAGCTTCTATAGAGCAAAAGAAATAATCAGCAGAGTACACAGAAAACCCACAGAGTGGGAGAAAATATTTGCAAACTATGCATCTGTCAGAGGACTAATATCCAGAATCTATAAGGAACTCAAAGAAATCAGCAAGAAAAAAGCAAATAAGCACATCCAAAAAATGGGCTAAGGACATGAATAGACAATTCTCAAAAGAAGATATACCAGTGGACAATGAACATGAAAAAATGCTCAGCATCACTACTTGGGAAATGCAAATCAAAACCACAATGCAATATCACCTTACTCCTGTAAGAATGGCCATAATTTAAAAATCAAAAAATAATAGGTGTTGGCATGAATATGGTGAAAAGGGAACACTTTTACACTTCTGATGGGGATGTAAACTAGTATAGCCACTATGGAAAACAGTACAGAAGTTCCTTAAAGAACTAAAAGTAGATCTACCATTTGATCCAGCGATCCCACTACTAATGCCAGTGGCAGGCTGGGGCTGCAGTCTGCTCTTGGAGGTTCCCCCTGGCAAGGTTACAAGCCAGGAGAGGGGGTACCCCAAACTGTCCCTGAGCCTTGGGGCCACAGGAGGAACTTGCAGCAAAGTCACCCTGCCCCAGACACCCGCCAGGGCCTGGCAAGGGCTGGAGACCCCAACCCAGGATGCAAGGAGGTAGACAGGGGAGCAGGAACGGCTGCAGGAACAGCAGTGGTGGCAGTGGGTCCCCTGTGCCATGTCCCTGAGATAGCTGACTGTGCCACCCTCACCCTCACACAGCTGGCAGGACCTGCTCGCAGGCCCAGAGCCTCTATCACAGCCTGGACTTCTCTCCTCACTGTGTCCTGGGAACCCACAAGCACCTAACCAAAGGTGCAGCTGGGACTCGCAGAACTGGTCCCAGAGTGTCCGGTTCCTTTGTGTGAGGTTGGCTGGAGCACTGTGCCATCTGCACCTCACCCACAACTGCTGCAGGATCAACTTCTCTTGATCAAGAAGTGTTGGTAGGAAACCTTACCTGCTGCAGCAAAGCTGGGGGAGAACTTGTAGATTAGGCCGTTCTGGGCCCTCCCAGTGTCACCAGATGTCCAGGCTACACATAATATTGAACTGTAATTGTAGTCCTTGTAGCACTTTTCCCTTGAACAAGGGGCTCAGTCACAGACCGGTTCTTTGTTATGAATACACATGTATTTACAATACAGCGTATGTATATTGGTCTCTATATTTGCTCTGTAAATTCTGTTGGTTATTAGTGACTAGGATTTGCTCCACAACATGTGGATGGTAACTTCCCTGAATGAAATTAACCCTGGCTAAAGGTCTCACATACTGAGACTGGTGAGAAATGTAGAATTGGTTGATTTACCATTCTTTTTGTAAAACAAAGCACCAGCTCTTTTATGGGCCCAGGAAATGAAGATAGGACCTCCATCTTCAACACTGTATGGTTGCTGTTACCACTGTCCTTAGTCATTAGAAATGACATCTTCACATCTTACAATCCAAGTTAGCTGAGTCATGGGGGAATCTTCTGCCAGGCTCCCAGAGCCAAAGAGCTCTGTGTTCCCCAGGGCCCCCCAATCATCTGCACCCATGGTCATTTCCCCTCAGAGGTAGGTGCACAGCCCTCCAGGTATAGAACCTACAGTCCAGGAACCCCTAACTAGGCCATCTCTTCAACTCCTGGGGAACTTATGGCCAAGAATATGGGAAGTGATGACATCTCAGAAGCTTATTCCATCATAGGTAATTCTCCTTTTCGCCAGTTGACTTGTGGTATAGGCAAATGGATTTAATACTTTATTTCAACACCTGGTTTTATCTGCAGCATAATACAATTACTCAGATTCCTAAAAATCATCCTCTTGCTTTGTTGCTAGTCTTTTTGTGTTATAATCTCTGGTTTTCTTCTCAATTCTGACATGTGCCCCTGCCTCCTGAACTTCACTACAGACTAGGATTTGTTCTGAAATCTCCATGCCATGATTTTCCTGCATCTCCCAATGAGAAGCATATGCCTGTCCATGCAGGTTCACCCAAAGACAGTGCCCAGAAGGGTGGCCTTCCTGAATCTGTCACAGGTGGCAGATCCCTGTGACGTGGACACCGTTTTACCTTCTAGATGAGAAACTTGAATGAGTGTGAGGTTTGCCGGGATGGAGGGGAGCTGTTCTGTTGTGACACTTGTTCGAGAGCCTTCCATGAGGACTGCCACGTCGCGCCTGTAGAAACTGAGAAGTGAGTGACATGCAGGCGCCTCTCTTTCGTCCTTTAAGGGAGCCTTCCACCTGCCATTCTCTCTCCCCAGCAGAGTGCCTGCTTGTGTTTAGCTGGGGAAGGAGCAGGTTCCTTGGGTACTGGGACCTAGCAGTGTGATCCAGAGAGCAGTGGGAGACGCTGGCAGCAGTAGGTTAATGTTCTCTGTTCTCAGGGACACCTCCCCTGGTATACTGAGGCCAGTGTTGGGGACCCTTTGCCTATATACTGGTATTGTCCTTTCCTTCAAGTTTTGCAGCAAGGTCTCCTGTCCAAAGGGGCTTGGGGACTATATTTTGTGCTTATTCATACAAGACAGGAAGCATGATCTCATTGGGCTGATGGAGGTCCAAGGTCCCTGGAGCTGAAAATCCAGTTTCTGAAACTCAGGCCTGGCAGGCAGGGCTCCTTGTGCTCCCAGCAGCTCAGACAGAGAAAGGAGAGCCACACTCACAGTGACACCACCTTCCTCAGGCTTCCTGCCTGCTGCTACCAGTGATGTGAGGGAAAGGCCAATGACTGGAGACCCCACATGCAGATCTTGCATACTCTGAGAGGTGTTCCCCTACCTCCCATCCCATGGCTGAGGCCATCGGCCATTCCTGATAGAGGACAGTGGCAGCCACAGGCCATTTCCAGGGTCCCTGCCCTCTGCTCACTTAAGTTCAATCTCTCAGGACCCCGTGGAGTTGCATCTTCTGCAGGATGAAGGAGTCTTCAGGAAGCCAACAGTGCTGTCAGGAATCTGAGGTCCTGGAGAGGCAGATGTGTCCTGAGGAACAGTTGGTGAGTCAGATGCAATGCCCAAGCCTTCTCCTTTCCCCTCACATGTGAGAAGCAGGAACAAGCACAGCGTCAGAGGAATGCACCAAAAGTGTGCTCTTCAGAGCCACACTTCAATTGCACTGATAGGTCACTACAACTTGTTTGCAGAAAAAATAACTCAGCCATGACATGTCTGTTTCTAAGAGCCACAAACGTTAGAGAAACTTGTGGAAGAAGGGTGTGAGTCATGTGCTCTGTCTGGACAGGCATGTGGGCTCACTCTCTCCATGCTGCTTTTCATTTATGGCCTCTTTCTTTTGCAGAAATGTGAATTCCTCCTCTTGAAAGTCTATTGCTGTTCTGAGAGCTCCTTTTTTGCCAAGATTCCGTATTATTATTATGTAAGTAACAACAGCAACCCATGATTACAGGCTGCCATGACATTGCCTGAAATGGGCACTTGTGAGATTTGTGATCTTAATCCCGTGGAGCAAGAGCACAGGCCACCATTAGTTACCTTCACTTTGTTGTATTTCTGCTGGATTTCATGGGACACCACAGACGGTAGAGATTGAACTGTGCTGGTATCCTTCCCACTGGTATTTTTGTCACCAGATTAGAGAGGCGTGTCAAGGCCTGAAGGAGCCCATGTGGTTGGATAAAATCAAGAAGAGGCTGAATGAGCACGATTATTCCCGAGTGGAGGGGTTTGTACGAGACATGCGCCTCATCTTCCAGAACCACAGGGCATCATACAAGGTAGGTGGCTCTTCCTGCTTCCTTTTGGTTTCTTTCCATTCTTCCCCTCATTTTTTGGTGCCTGGAAAATTTTAATCTCCCTCATCCTATAATAAGCTTGCACAAGCAAGGGCTCTGAAAGTGAGGGATTTTTTTTCAGTTCTGGTCTTAGCAAAGTAACAATGAGTCAAAAGGTGTCCCTGCAACCAGAGCTCCAGGTTCCTGAGAGCTCATCCCCCACCTGCCCCAAGGTGACAGGGGCTCAGAGAGAGCAATTGAGTCCTGTCTCCTGCAGCATATAAAGAGGAGAATTTCATCTTAAAGTGGTATTGTGTTTCTTATCTGCCCTCAATCTTGGAAATCCCAAACTCCAGATTCCTTTGCATGTCACTAGACCACATGGTTAACAGGGATTGCCAGCAAGGAGTAGAAGTGATGGAGAAAGGAAGAGATTAGTGATCTTACCTTATACCCTTCCACTATCTGAATTGGTGAAAGAGCATAGATTACTTTTCTAACCCACTGAAATAAGCAACCGAAGCTAAATAAGTAATAATTCCAACTATGCAAATGACTTCACTTTTCTGCCCTGTTAGTAAGAATCATGCTGGTAAAAAACAGAAGTTACTCTTAGCTGCATGAGTTTTCAAGTTTAACTGGTTAATGTAACTTAGCGTGTTTAAGACAAGAGTCCTATACTTAACAATACTGTATTTTACACTTCAGCATTTTTAAGAGAGTAAATTTCAAATGTTCTCACCATAAAAAAATGATAACTATTTGAGGTGATGGATATGTTAATTAGTTTGATATGATTATTCCACAGAGCAGTCATAAATCACAACATTACTTTATACTCCAAAATATATACCATTATAAATTGTCAACTTACGGTACTTTATTTTTTCAAGACAAGAGTCCTGATCATTCTCAGTTGAAAGGTGTCTAATGACACTAATCATGGGGAACTTTGTTTTTGTCTTTATTATTTTTTTTCAGTACAAGGATTTTGGCCAAATGGGACTTAGACTGGAGGCTGAATTTGAGAAGAATTTGAAGGAAGTGTTTGCTATTCAGGAAACAAATGGGATTAATTAATTGGTTTAGTGGATGCTGAAGGCGTTCAGCAAGTAGTACCCCAAAATATGCCACTTACTTCAAACTGAGGGCACTTGGACACAGCACATGCAGGGAGAGGCTTTTCTCTGAGCCTCCCTCATCTGCCCAAAGACGAATCCTCCAAAGGAAATTCAATCATCATGAATCCCATCGCCAACAATCTCATCAGCCAGGGAAGGGTAACTGGGACCACAGGGAAGGAGGTGGGAAGTGACACCAGCACAGACAGACAGTCACCTCTTCTCCTGAGGGCTGCTCCAGACGTTTCTTACTCACAAGACCTTTTATCTGAAAAACAGCCAAGCTTTATTCAGGACACACTTCTTTCCATCCCCCTCCTACTTGTCTGGCCACCTCCCTGCAGAAGCCCCGGGCCCCCCCATTCTTTTCGATAGCTCAAGATGGTGTATGCGTGTCAATCATCTGGCCCTTCTCGGAGTCTTGTATTTCATGGGACTCCTGTGTATACATATATAATTAAAATTTTTTTTCTCCTGTTAATATGCTTATGTCAATTTAATTCATTCGTAGCTCAGCCAAAGAACCTAACAGGTTAGAGGGAAACCATTTCTCACTCCCCTGCAAAGCTGTTGGTATCCTGGCACCATCTCCTCTTCTGGCCAGGTCTTTTCATCCACAGCTGCTGAGTGGTGGCTGCTATTGCCAGCAGTCCCTAGAGTATTGCCATGGGTCTAATGGAACCAGCTTCACCTGGAGGTGACACCCCGTGGCCTGAGGCTGACCCCCTTGCCTCAAAGCAGGACCAAGGATGTGGTGGGTGGCTACTCTGTGCTCCCAGGTATCAGGCTAGAGCTAGTCTACAGCTGTGGCCACATCTGGGCTTATGTATGCTCATGGGCCTGATAAGCAAGAAACATTGACTATTATGAATGACGTGTTAAGTCACAGACACTGCAGGTGGTGAGAAAGAAGTGTTACAAAGATTCAGAGATGTGCCTTATAGGTAAGCTTTCAGGGGTTCAATGGTCTGGAGCCTGTCAGAGCATCCCCTCCAAAGCTCCAAGCTATTGCAGCTCATACCTCCTACCACTAAGGAACCCAGAGCTTGGTGGGCCTCCCCAGGTTACGAGAATCACCATGGTTGACATTCTGATGCAAGTGATTCTAGGCTTTGTAATGTGGTTGTGTGTTTGAGAGGCAGGGAGTAGGGAGGCAGTGGGTATACCATCTTAGTGAATAAAAATGCTAATCGATTTTTTTCACTTAATAATATCCAATGGACATTGTCACATCAATAAATACAGCTCTACATTTGAATGCTATAGCTATGCTATAGCTTTCATTTTATCATCAAAACTGAATTGTTATTGGCTAGCACTTTTGGTCTTGTAGGCAATACTAACTTGTACTGAGATGCAGCACAGGCTAGCATTTAAGAGCACAGACAGAATGTAGCTCATATAGGTAGAAGCCTAGCTCCTAAATATGTCTACTTGCTGGCACTGTGTGCTTGGCCAAGTTATTTATCCTTCCCCTGCACTATTTCATCTGTAAAATGGAGATAACACTCTAGATTATTGTGAGGATTAACAAGTTAATATTTATTATTCACTTAGAAAGTGTCTGGCTTTGCATGCAATACATAGGTAACAAATCTAAGATTAACCCAAACACCTTGGTATTAATTCAGGCTCTTCACCATCAAGAGAGACCCAATTTATCTAGATTAGACAAAAAGGGACTTTGATGATGAAATGCACAGTGCCTCACCGAAAGAGCTGGAAGGCAGGGGTACTGAGCTGGCAAATAGCCCTGGAAAAAGGCAGGAATCAGAGTGGTTCCAGGACTTAAGCACCAGGAATGATGCAGCCATGTCCTCAAGGATGTTAATAATTTTACTGTCAGTGTCTGGCTGGCCTGGCTTGCTCAAGAGCCAGTATTGTGATTAACAGCCCCTCACTCCTGCCGGAACCCATCTGGGTTCCTACCCTGGGGGTGTGTGCCATGTCCCTGGGAGCTGCCAGGACCTGGTGCTCTCATTGTCCTGATCTGGGAGGTCATGGGCTCTCGGTAATGATCTCTCAGCTGGAATCTACCACGGTGAGTTCTGGGTGTCAGCATACACCCTGCTGTGCTGAGCTGGGAGAAGCTTCTCTAATTATCCCTAAGGCACAAAAACTCACATTCTACAAACCCCTTCAGGTATTTTATTCTCACATTCTACAAGATACACTCAGCCATAAGGAACTCGCCTTCATCTTATCTTCTCGCATGCAAGCCTTACATTCAACTCTCCTTCAACTCTGTCTCTCTTCATAAGTGTTCTCCACCTAACCCCACCACTATTTTACTTACGAAACCAAACCAACACTCATGCTGTAATCTAATTAAAAGTTCTCTCACCATGTTTCACTACCCACTCACATAAAGGCAGCCTCAGATTGGTTTATAGATGGCAACGCATCAAAAACCTTCCCCTCTAAGTAGGATATGCCATCTTTGAAAAATATAATTACACGCACTCTCTGCCACCTAGAAAAGTAAAAAAGACTGCCCCCTTGCCTTTGGGCTCATCTGCGCAACAAGCAAAATTAGTTGCCCTACTAAGAGTGCTAACCCTAGCAAAAAATATACAAGTTAATATACACACCAATTCCAAATATGCCTATAACGTCATCCATTCCAGCGCCCAAATTTAGAATAAGCAGGGCTATCTCACGGCGAAGGGAATGCCTATCATTAAAGGAAAACTCATCCATCACCTATTAAAGGCAGCTCTACTTCCAAAAAAGGTTACAGTTATCCATTGCAAAAAAACATCAAACAAAAGCCACATTTCTTTAGGGAACCAAAAGGCTGACTATTGGGCAAAACATGCCTCAACCATTCACCCAGCTCCCCAATACGTATTTCTCCTCATACATCATATTCCTTCCTCTTATCCAGAATATCAAATATAGCAACTAATCATGGCATGAGCACAATTTAAACCCCCATGCCAGTTCTTACAAAACAAATCAGTCCTGCCTGACTCTGAAATAAAAGCCCATCTACAGGACATTCACAGTGTCTTCCACACTAGCTATTCCCCTCTACAATATTTCTTAAGTTCCCATATACATGTAACCCCAGATATAAAGGAACAGTTGAAAGCCGTTTCCCACCAATGCTCTATTTGCCAAAAAGCCTCACCTCACTCCAACACTAGACCCCTTTCTTTCCCAACCCATCAAGTTAGGGGATACCTTCCAGAACAGGATTGGCAAATTAATTTTACCCACATGCACCCAGTAAAAAAAGTTCAATTTCTTTTAGTTCTGGTTACTACCTTTTCAGGATGGGTCAAGGCTTTTCCCACAACCAACAAATAAGCTTTTACTGTCACCTCCAAACTAGTCACAGATACCCCCAGTTCAAGGTGCCTCTTTCTTTTCAATCTAACAATGGTCCTAAATTCATTTATCAAATTACTCAAACACTTATGCAAGCCCTACAAATTTACCTGAAAGCTACACAACCCCTGTCAATCTCAATCTTCAGGAACAGTTTTTAAAAAAAAAGAATGGAATTCTAAAGAACACCCTGCACCAGGTACTCACTCCAAACACATAAAGACTGGCTTACACTTTTGCCTTTGGCCCTTCTGAAAATTTGGGCACTCCCATGTAAACCTTTAATGCTCAGCCCCCTTAAACTCATGTATGGGAAACCATTCGACCCTTTTGCTCCACCTCAGGGTCAAGCCCCACCTCTACCAACCCCTCTCATTTCCCCTCTTCTACATACAACCCACCATTTCATTCAGGAATATGCTGACAAATACCTGCCACAACCATCACCGACTTCTCTGATCCTTTCCTACAGCCAGGAGACTGGGTTCTGGTACAAAATCTGAATCCTACCCCCAAGTTCCCCCCTCACACCTAAATGGAAGGGACCTTACCAGATCATTCTTACTCCACCCACAGCAGCAAGTCTAGGGATTCCCTAACTGGTTTCATTATACTTTTCTCAAGAAAACAGACTTCTCTCCACCGCATGTCCAAACAACCAAATCTAAAACCCCTTCGGCCTTCTCTTATGTCTCCACAGGACACACTTTCTTTGCCTCGCCCAAATCCCAGAGGAAAAGGAGGAAAAATCCACATAAGCCACTTGCTTCCCAACCAACCTTGTTACAGACCTTCAGTGGAACCCTTATGAAGCTCCCATTATACATCCTGATTGCTCCTTACTATTCTAGTGGGACCTGTGGCTTCAAGGAACTTTCCAGGACTTTACTCCTACCCAGATAACAGTTTTTCTTTTTTTGCTTGTTTTTTTTCAATATAAATTCCCTAATCACATCAACCTCACCAATACAACCACTCCTCACTGCTCTCAAACTAAAACACTCTATAAACCCTACACAATCCCTCTTCCTTCAAGCTAACTCTTCCTTTGCTCCAGAATGCTGAACGTGCATAACACTGTCTTCCTCAGCTTACACAGCCCTTCCTACACCCCTTCATGACCTTTTAACGGGAAAAATAACACTAATTTATAAATTCCAAAAAGGAGCTTCCTTTTTAAAAATGCTGACACCCCAGTGAGCGATTATCCCACTTCCAGGGCTAATCAAGCCAACAAATTATTTCAAATCTGTTACACCTCCCTATAATGCCTCAAGCCCCAAGGCCCTCCCATTAAAAGGCTCATAACTAAATACAATCCCTTTTACCAATAAGCCTCACTTTGCTTTTCAGCCTCTAAGGGAAATTTCATTGCAGGGTCCTTAACATCTAACCAATGCAACCCTATCCTTGTTAAACACCCCTCTGACCATCAAACTAACCGGGTTAATTACCAACTATCACCTGAAGCAAACACAGCATTTCTGCAACTAGCTCGTTTTACAGCCTCTCCCTCAACCAACATTCCCAGGCTGACTTGTGCCCTCCCACCTTTTTCCATGGCTCAGAATCAGTGGTACAACATCTGATTGCATTAAATTTGTAAAAAAAAATAACTCTTCCTATATCTCTACTATAGTGGGTGTCTCCCTGGCCTCCTCCTTGTCCACCTGGAGTAACAAACCACAGGAAAAAAAAAACACCCCATCTTTAATTCACTTATTTTCTTTCCATATCTTTACCTGTATTTATAACAAAGGCTTATTCTTTTTGTTAGGCACCAACACATATCTTCGTCTTCCCACCAACGAAACTGGAACCTAAACCCTAGTTTATTTTTCTCCCTCCATTGAACTAGTTCCTCCTAATCAATCTTTACCTGTTCCATCTGTCCAATGTGTTAAATAAAGAAGGGCCATCCCAGTCATTCCTTTAATGGTGCCTTAGGTATAACCTCCAGGCTTGAATTGGAGACAGGCAGGTTGACCACCTCCTTAACATACTTTAAAGTTCTTTCCACAAAACTACAGGGTTCATTAAAAAGTATAGCTTAAAGCCTTATAAAAGTCCAAGACCAACTAGATTCTTTGGCTGGAGTGGTTCTCCAAAATAGATGGGGATTAAATCTTATAATGGCTGAAAGAGAGG